AAAGGATAAAGGGGCAAATATACCTAAAAAATGGTCAGTCAGGGATACTCATTATCCTAAAGTGAAGAAAAAGGGCAAAAATACTATAACATTATATAAGTGGGTGCACAAGTAATTAGACTGTTAACTTTAATCGTTAAATGCTGACTGTACATGTTACGTGTCAACCTTTGCTGATATGGACTAATGAAAGAGCAAAAATATCCATGAAGTTGTTGGCTAGGTGTAAAAATACACATAACGTTACTAAAGTTAGTGCAAAAGTAATAAATCCATCAAATCCCTTAAATATTGACTATTTAGCTGACATCTAAGTAGAAGTTGACTATTTTTTCATTGATGTAGACCAAAATTATTCCCTGATGAATTTTTACGGATGTTGATCGATCATCATATGAGTACCTATAATTAGTAACCAATTTGTCAAAATCCATGCCATATAGTTTCTTTTTATCGCCACGTATCTCACTTCCTTCCTTCCTCCCTCTTCACTCATTTTTCTTATCTGCAAAATCTGATATTTAACATAGTAGATAGGTTGTACATAATTAAAGATTGAGACTGAGCACACCTCCTATGCCCTCCCTACCTTAAGAACATTGTCACAATCTTAAGTAATCATTCATAATAGGTTCAAAATTTTCAAATGGTTTTTGCCACTACTATAAAAAAAACAAGTAATTTAATTCGATATTCAATCAAAATGACATTTTCTCACATGATATTCATATAATGATCGATTAATCTCTAGAGAATTTCATCTAGGAATATTTTTTATTTATATCAACTAAAAATGGTCAACTTTTGTTTACATATCAGTTAAACGATCAACATTTAAGGAATTTGATATATTAGTTACTTTTACACTAACTTTGGTAATGTTATGATATTTTTGCTCTTGGCCGATGACTTCGTGGGTATTTTGCTCCTTTATTAGTCCATGCCAACAAAGGCTGACACGTGGCATGCACAATCAGCATGTAACAATTAAAGTTAACGGTCTAGTCATTTTTGCACCCACTCATGTAACGTCATGAGTATTTTTGCTATTTTTCTCACTTTAAGATTATTAGTGCCCTTGGCTGATTACTTTGTAGGTATTTTTACCCCTTTACCTTTTTAAAAATTATAGGGTCACATTGCTCCAATTAAAAAGTAAAAGTACTCCATGCTTATTTCAAAATACTTTCAAGATATTTTTGCTCCTAAATCCAAAAATTAATGATATAACTTAAAAAAAGGACAGATTTTTTTTTCTTGCTCTATCTTACAAATAGGTATAAATGAAGTATAATTTAGGGTTCATTAATTCACAATTAAGTACATGAGTATATTGACATGGGAAAATATTTATGTTATCTTTTTTTTTTATTCCATCGCTTGGCATTCTGGAAAATCTGAGGCATTACCACCTCCGACTCAAACTGATCCAAACCCTCACTGTATATGACTATTATTATAACAACAACCTCACAAGTAAAGGTGGAAATAGGCCAAGATTCTATTAGGGACCAACAATTTGATCTACTTTAGGCCTAGCCTGACTTATTTACTAAATAGGTCCAAGTTGAGTTCAAGCATTTAATTAGACATATTTAGTTGAAAAAGCTAGGCCTATTTCTACAAAACCTAACAAGCTAACGTATTTATATTACATACATATCAGTTTCACTATTTAATTTTCATTCAATCTATTTTTTTTTGTTGTTGTGTTTTTACTCAGTTGGATTTATATATTAATTTTAATGTTATTAAAATAACCAACCATAATAGACAGAATCAAACCATAGTATAAAGTCTACTATGCTTAAAAACAATGTAGAAGATAGCTTACACACTTTAAAATCAGAGTGAACACATTTAAGAAGCAATGGAATCAATTGAAGTTGATAATAAGTCAAAATAAGACCCAAAGGATAGGGCGGAAAATGCCCAAAACAGACACGTCTATAGTGGTTAAGTGCATATTAGGCATGACACGTGATATAGAAGCAACCCGTGCCACACAACACACGTGCCACTCAAACCCATATATCACACGAGAGTGGAAACGCCACTATGCTGCTTCTATTTATTAAACCATATTATAAACTAATTAGAAAAAATATGATAAATAAATCAAAAGAGAGGTGGTAATTCCAAGCTTCAAAAATGCCACATCTCTTTTTTATTTATTAAATATTAATTATAAATATTAATTAAATAAATTAAAATAAAGTAATTATTTAAGCTAATAAAACAAAATGCAAAGCTAATAACAAAGTAGAGAGTTGACATTTATAAGTTTCAAAAACACCACCTCTCTACTTTTTAATTATTAAATAATAATATATATTAATAATTAATATTAATTAAATAAATCATAATAAATAATTATTTGATCTTGCAAAAAAAATACTTAAATAACAAAAATGCATAACGGTTGTGTTTCCAAGCTTTGAAAACACCATCTCTTTTCATTATTTATTAAATATTTTTTATATAGTTATAAATAATAATTAAATAAATTATAATAAAATAATTATTTAATTGATGGAACAAAATATTAAATTAATAATAGAGTATAAAGGTGGCGTTCTCAAGTTTAGCAATGCCACCTTTTTGCTTTTTATTTATTAAATAATATAATATATTAATTAAAATTACTAAATAAATAAATTATAAAAAATTATTATTTAATCTAATAAAAAATGTTAAATCATTAGCAAAGTAGAGGGGTGGCGTCTCCAAGCTCAAAAAACATCACTTTTCTCATTTTTAGTTGTTAAATAAAACATATAATAATTAATACTAATTAAATAAATTATAATAAAATAATTATTTTATGTTATTAACATATAAAAATTATAATAAAATTATTAAATCATTAATAAACACTTCTATGCTTTTGATTATTAACAATATATTATTTAGTTAAAAAGAAGAGAGGTGATGTTTCATCACTCTTGAAATGCCACCTCTCTACCTTTAGTTATTAAGTAAGAATATTAATTTTTTAGTAAAATTAATTAATTATGATAAAATAATTATATGGTCTAGTTAAACAAAATAATTAATGAAAAATTAGAGAGGTGGCACCTTATTATTAAAATACCGTTTAATTTTTGATTAACAAAAAGTTGTGGCATTTCATTGAAAAAACACCACCTTTTGCTATTTATTAAAATTATAAACAAAAAAAATAATTTATAAGCTGTGACATTTGATATAATAAACACTACTTTTTTACTTTGATTTTAATATTAGTGACATTTTGTTTTTTTTTACTACAAAATGGGTGTTATGTACTAAATCTCATTTCTATAATAGTAATATCAATTGTAAATTCTTAGAATCGAACAAATAATATCTTAAAAGACATTCCATGTTAAGTCACCAGGAAATTTGCACACACATCAACAAATCACACCTACAATTCTAATATTAACAACATCAAACTCATCATCAAGCTCGCAAGAAACTCCATTTTAAGACCATCAATTATGTTGGGTATAGTAGCCCATCAGAATTGTTTTCTTTTTTTCTTTGTTTTTTTTTTTCCTCCCCAAAGACATCCCCACAACTAATAGCCATGAGACTAATCCTTTGAGAGATCAGAATGCCATTTAAGGAATATAATTGTCTTCTCCCAAGCCATTCTCTCCATATACACATCCAAAAATTGAACTTTGGAATGATGCTTAAGAAGTGAGACTGCTATCATCTGTACCACACCCACTTGGTAAAATTGTTTTCCTTTTTGAGAATTGCAGTGATAACTTTATAATAATTACCAAGATACATTTAGCAGGCAAATTTTACCCCCAATAATTAACATTCAGCATCAAAATTCAACCCCCAAACCACAAGCATTTTTGGCATGCAGATAAATAGTTCAGAAAGAAAATAAGAGACATCATAGAGTGATTTACAAAGAACAGGGAAAATTCTGAAGCACGATTTTAACTATTTCCATTACCGGCATTACCACCATGGACAAGGCAAGGAAGCCAACGAATAAGAACCCACAAAGCTGTTGATGAAGGCAACACAAACGAAGAGGTATAGCGTGTTTTTAAGGGATGATGGAGGCTATGCTGGTTTGACTGATTCAAAATATTGGTGCGATATTAGTTAGTCACGTTATGTTCCCAATACGTGGGTCTCAAGTTTATCCAGTTTGTTTTAGACTTTTAGTAGGTCAAGTCAGTATGTTAGTAGGTCAGATGTTTTTGTTCTGTTTCTTGTGGTCCTAATTGTAGCATTCATTTTTTAGTATTTTATTAATTTAAGAGTCCCCTTGTTTCACATGTCAGAAAACTAAAAGTAATTTTTCAGTATTTCTTCATTTCTTTCGTCTGTCTATTATCCTCGTTTACCAAAAAGATACTCCACATCAGTAGAGGAAGAAGGAAGAGACGGCAACATCAAATTAAAGGGAGTGGGAGAAAGTGGACGGAGCTGTGCTGAATACAATCAATGGAAATGGGTCGTACTTGGTTGTGATTGTTCGGTGTTGTGCGATGATATGCTCTGCATCTTCATCTTCTCTTCTTTTAGGTCACAAACACCATACAACAATTCAATCCCTTGCATTAGTTTTGTGATATAATTACCAGGCTATTTAAGACTTTTCCAATCTTTTCTTTTTTTCTTTATTCAAAGCCATGTATATACCAAACCCACCATAACAGTAGTAGTTTTATATTTTATATTTGAACTAAAATGTGACCCATGTATTTGTGGATTCCAAGTAGAGAGGAAGCTATCACATATACAGGGTTAATTAACGGTAACAGAATAACAAACACAGACAACACGTTGGATGGCATATTCGAATATAAGAGATGAATTAATCCTGGGGCAAGGTATGCGCTTGTACGACGGACACATAAATTGGTCTTGAAGCAAGGTATATATGGACAGAATAGCCCCTAAATTATCGATCACGAGTATATATGTATGCATACATGTATAACTACTATCATCAAACAAAATAGCATCATCACATTCACATAATCATGGATCAGATGTTGAAGGAAGCTGCTAGAGTTGGAGATGTTATCACGTTGCACAAACTATTGGAGGAGGATCCTCAGGTACTGAAGAAAGCGTGCTTAACCAATTTTGCAGAATCACCTCTTCATGCGGCGACACTGGCCAATCGAGGACAATTTGTGAGGGAGATTATTACTCGAATGCCTTCATTAGCCACTTTGCCCAACCAGAAAGGTTTGATCCCATTGCACATGGCTTCAGCAGCAGAGCAAGTTGATATAGTGAAGGAGCTCTTAAGTGGGAAGCTTAACAGTAATGAAGTGAAGCAGTGCCTTGTGAAGGATGAAGATGGCTGGACTGCTTTACATTATGCAGTTTTCAGAGGTAGGGTTGATGTGATGGAAGAGTTAATGAGGTATTGTGCTGAGCGTATGGAAGAAGTGACAGTAAAAGGAGAGACGGTTCTTCATCTGGCAATAAAGGCTAATCAACTTGAAGCAATGAAGGTGATAATGGAGAGGATCAGAATCCTTATTCCAAATTTTCAGACGCTGCTTGGAGCTAAGGACATCAACGGCAAGACCATTTATGATCTTGCAAAGGCAAAGAAACAATTCCAGGTAATTGAAATTAAACCTAATCTTATGTTTAGATCAATGAAAATTTGGATTTGAGAGAATGATACTAGAGTCTCAAAATTGGAATTTATGATAGTTTGGTTCCTGGTAAAATTTTCTAAAAAAAAAAAAATCAGTAATAAATATCAATTCAAATAATTATAAATTCAAGAGTTTTATATGAAAATGAGACATTTAAACTTCAAATATAACTTTTAGTTTGTAGTTGAGATTTTTATTTATAATTATTTGAATAAATATTTGCAACTTATTTTTTAAAAAATTTTGACGAGGACTTAACTATCATGAATTTTTCAAGTTTTAGGATTTTATTGTTATTTTCCTTTTGGATTTGAATTTGAGTTAAATTCTCAATTTGAATCATGAAATCCAAATCCAAATTTATATATTAGTGTATATAATTCTTTGATAATTCTCGCATCCCTCGTTCTTGTCTCTTGTGTATTGAAAAATAAATATAAACTGATTATTCTTATTATATTCTTCCGTTTTCACTACAATCTTTAGCTCATCTTTCTTTAAATTTTTTTTACACTAATCAAACAAATGATTTTTATAAATATATGAATTTTAAATATGAGACTTTAAATCTAAAATTTAAATTTAAATTCAAATCTACCAATTCAAGGGCTAACACACACTTGTACTGTCTTTTGATGAATATATTTGTGCGATGGCTTGGCACGCAGGTAGTACTAGGCATAGGGAAAGAAGAGGAGATGAAGAATGATGAGATAAGGGAGGAAACTAGTATAGCTGTAGTGGACTCCGCCGAGGACGGGCAAAACCCTAAAACCCCTAAAAAAGAAGAGAAGGAAGAACACAGAAAGAGAGAATTTAAGAATGCCATACTAGTTGTGGTCACCACAATCATGACATTAACATACGAAGGCGTGTCAGATCCACCATCGTCGCTCATCAAAGAGGGAACTGAAATACACCGGGCATGCCTTTCCGCCAGAAAACACGGCTTAATAAAGGACATGAAGAACTGTCCGTCCAAATTGGCTTTTGAGCTCTTGTTCTTCAACACCTTGATCTTCTTCGAATCCACCCTCTACCTGCTTTTCACTTTTCGGGGCCGTCGTGCAGTCTTATTGGGAGGGCTCTTTATACACCTTATTGCTGGTTACAGCATCTTCCTCATGGCTTTCTCCTATTATACCGCTTACGTTGCTATTCCACTCTGTTTGATAGCTTATTTTGTAATAACGGCACTCATATTTGCAACCGACAGAGAGATGATAGCTGGTATAGTAAAAACAGACGCGATGTACACAATAATCCCATTCCACACAAATCTGCGTTTGGGAAAGGCTTCATGATAGGTAATAAGTTGATATTATATATATATATATATATATATTTAAAAAAGTGTATCTCTAGTCCTTTACTTTTATATAAAATTTCAATTTAGAAATTTAATTTTATAAAATATATTTCAGTCTTTTAATCCTAATACCATTAGTTACAAATGATTATTTTTTACACCCATCATTATTATTTTAAAAAGTTAAAATCAATATGCCAACATTTGAGAATGTTTTTTTTTGTTAATATTTAAAAGTTCAATGTAAGAATTTCTTGTTAGTGAAACTAATGATGTTAAAGTTAAAATATTGAAATGATACTTTATAAAATTAAAGAACTAAAATGAAATCTTATAAAATTAGAAGACTAAAAGGTGCAATTTAACTTTTTTTTAAAAACAGATCAAATATTAGATACATTGATAATTATAATTCTTTTATTTATTAATATATTTAATCTTTACGCCCTTCTTTTCATTTTAAAAGCATGTAGAATTACATAAGGGTATGGTGGAATTGAATGGTTCAGCCTTGCTATCAAAATGGTGGCTGCAAGAGATCAGTTCCGATTGCACAGAGGGTATGAATTGAAGCAAGGAATGAGGAAGGCGAATACAATGTCATTTTCTTTTCTTTTCCTTTTTTGATATCTCTTTCCATCTCACTTATATTTGGGTCACTTAGGCTTTTTTCTAATTACGTACATGTTTCTTATTGATTAATTATCCACGTCTGAGTACTTGTTTTGTTCTATATAATATTTCAAAGTGATGAATGAGAATTGAACCAATGCATAGTAACCTTTTATTTTTATAGGTTTTCAACTATTACATATCCGTGGCAAAAAAGAAAAAAAAAAGGAAAGAAGGGAAAGGAAAGTAACACCCAAGTCCCTCGAAAGATTTAATAACAAAGTTGAACATCTTGCTATGCTCGGTACTTGTCAATGAACTTGCTTGTGGTGTTTAATCATATCCTAGAAGACCTAATTATGCTATTAAACCTTTTCGGATTGTTAGGTATTTTCTATTAAAATTAAATTAATTCTAGATTGTTAATATTTATACCGTATTATGTGTTGTTATTTTCCACAGTGTTCTTCAGCTTTTGTGGCATTCAAGCTAGAAACTGAAATAATGTAATTGATATTTCTTTAAGAAAAAAAGTTAAATATTTGATATATTGATAATATAATTCCAATTGCATAGAGTGCGAACTTTAGAAAAGAGGAAGGTGAAATCAACCTTGCTTTGAATCTAGTCATGGAGACACATAGGGAAGACACGGTCACTTCACTCCACGTTTCAGCCTACTAAATGTTAAAGAAGCCTAATGCTCAGAAAGTCCAAACTCTAATTAGTTTCTGTACAGTCACGTGACTCAATCATTTGCCTTAGGGTTTTCCACCCTAGCTCTATATATAGCAGTAAAATCATTGAGCTCAGTGAGCCTCATTCATAGAAACGTAGAATTACTACTTTCTCGTCTTAGCATCAGAGCATTGCTGCTCGCAGCTTACTCTTCACTTCTCCCAACCTACCAAAGTCCTCTACGAGTTTGTCGATTTAGGTTTGAGTGATCATCATTATAATAAAATTTAGAGTAAAAAGATAAAAATACTTACAAAGTAGTCAGTCACGAACACCCAATATACCAAAGTGATGAAAAAGGTAAAAATACCCATAATGTTACATAAATGAATGCAAAAAAAGTAACAAACTATTAACTTTGACCTAACATCGTTAATTTTGATAGTTAAATGTTGGTTGTACATGCCACGTGTTAGTCTTTGCTAATATGAACTAAAAAAGGGGCAAAAATATCCACAAAGTCGTAAGCCAGGAGCAAAATACTCATAACGTTATCAAAGTTGGTGCAAAAGTAACCAATCCATCCAATCTTTAAATGTTGACCGTTTAGCTAACACCTAAGCAAAAATTGACTATTTTTTTCACTGATGTAGATAAAAAATATTTCTAAATGAAATTCTTTAAAAGTTAATCGGCTATTGTATGAATATCATGTGAGAAAATATCATTTTGATTAAATATCAAATTAAATTACTTGTTTCTTTACAACAATAGTAAAAATCATTTAAAAATTTTGAATATATTATGAATGCAATTGCTTGAGGTTGTGACAATGTTCTTAAGCTAGATGTGCTTAATCTTAATCTTTTATTTTGAACAACTTATCTCACTATGTTAAATCTCAGGTTTTGCAGACAAGAAAAATGAGTCGAGAGGGAGAAAGGAAGGGGCAAGATACGTGGTGATGAAAAGAAATCATATGGCATTGATTTTGATAGATTAGTTACTATTGTACTTACTAAAGTAAACATTATAGGTGCTCATACAATGATCGATCAATATACGCAAAAATTTATCTTGGAATATTTTTTATCTACATCAGTGAAAAAATAGTCAATTACTACTTAGGTGTCAATTAAATGGTCAACATTTAAGGGACTGAATGTATTGGTCACTTTTGCATTAACTCTGGTAACGTTATGCGTATTTTTGCTCTTGGCTGACAATTTTATGGGTATTTTTGCCCCTTTACCCTAAAATTTAAACTATTCAGATTTAAATTTAAATGATTCAAATTTAAAAAATTATTATATATTTTTATTTTTATTTTTATTAAAATAAAAAATTATAAAAATTATAAAGTAATTTTAATAAAGTTTTTATTTTTAATATAATCTATATTTAATTTAAAGGGTCCAATTTAATATTAATGTCACACCCTGAAAACAGAACATGTTTGGCACAGAATATAGGGATAATACCCATATCCTAAAAGTCTTTACTAAAAAAAAACTCTAATTTATAAGCCATGAAGACATTTGATAATAAATTAAGCCATTCTCAATACAAACCATACGAACAAAGATTTAATATTTTACAAAATAATAGTAACAGCAAGGAATTCTCTTCCGATTAGTAAATAACAAAGTATAAATCATAAGGATGAGGACCCTAACTATAGCTTATGTGGAGCACCTGACATAATTAATTTACTTTAAAGAAGTTTAATTTCGGCTTTTCATCTCAACTGAATATTACAGCCCTCAAGGATTAGTGGAAAGCACGACATCAGCTAATATATCTGAGACCAAAATAATAATTTCTAATGAATAACATCCTAACAATAAATAATAGAACATGAATAAAAAGAAAAAGTTTAAAAATAATTGTGTGAGTCAAAGAGACAATAGCTTTCATAAAAATTTAATAAACTTTAAAATAAAATAGTTCTATAAAATTTTAAAATTTAGTCTTAAATCATTGAACTATCAAGGCAAATGTTAATAGGACTTGATTCCAAGAAAGCACATAAATGAAATAAATATTATAAATAAATTACTAAATAACATCAATAGAATATAAAATCATCAAATAATTAGATTCATAATTATAGGGACTTATTATAAACAATTAACAAATGTGGACACATAGTCCACGAAGGTAAATAACCAAATGCGGCTTATGCCACAAAAATAAATGTGGACACATAGTCTACAAGGATAAGTAACCAAATGCAGCTGAAGTCACGAAACAAACATGGACACATAGTCCACGAAGGTAATGCTAACCAAACGCGGCTTGAAGCCACTAAACAAACGTGAGTACGATGCTCACGAATAACCATCTCTCCGTTCCAAATGCGTTGGCCATTGCATGAGGCTAGCACCTCCTATGAACACCCTGCTAGCTAGATATACCATAGCACGCCAAAGGCTAACAGAACTGCCGTTAGCAACTGGTATTTCATATAAATTTCCTTTTTTAAAACCATTTTCAAACATATGAGAAAATCATTACTTTCAAGATATAGTTCTCATTCTCAAAATCAAACTCGCATGAATACTTTTAAACATTAAAACTTGCCATAATAAAATTTCATATCCAATGCTCATGCTTTCATTTATCGAATAATCAAAAAAAAATTCAAAGTCGAACTCACAAGAATCATTCTCTGTATCAATCCAATATTTGATAAAATAAAAATCTCATAATCAAAGTCCAAACTTGATTTAATTAATCAAATAACATTTCAAATTTGGTAAAGCTAAATTTTCAAAATAAAGCAATGTTAATCAACAAATATCCAATAATCACATTAATGCTATTAAAATGATTTCTAGAAAAATATAAATTTTAGTAAAGGAAATTTTAATAATAAAAAAAATCAGTTGGGATGTTATTCACTTACCTATAGAGTCTCCAAGTGTATAACTCACTTTCAACTGGTCCTCTAGTACAATATTTGACCTTTAAATTCCTAGTACCCAAGTAACACTATTGTTATTCATTTATAAACTTTATTATTCAAGACTTCAATTCAAAATTCCAAAGTGGTATCACAAATAAGCCTCAATCTCTACTTTCTCAAACGTTGTATCAACATTTTGCAAACATGAACTCTTTAACTCATAAATTTAGGTTCTTTTATCCAAATCTTATCCCAATCATTTTCCATAAATTTTTCAATGTACAATGCATGTTTAAATTAATCAAACTTCTTCTTCAAATCCCATCCCAAAGTTCTTCCAGCAATTCAACAACACCAAGACTTTGCTAAATTCAGCTCATCCACGAGGTCATAGCCGTAGAAATAGAGAAAATGATCATTAATTTTTTTTGTTATAACAATTTGTCCTTACCCACACACATATATTCAGCAAAGAGAGACACACACTTAGCAAATTTAATTATCCACTCAAACACTCACACATAGAATCATCAAGAAAGATAGCTCAAGGCTTCTCACGTTAACCCTCAACATTAACAAAGACAAGGAAAGAGACGAGACATACAGCAGAACAAGGAAGAAATTCTAATATGATGCATGAATCAAAAAGAGGAGCAAAGCCAACACAAACAGATCAAAAAGCAAAGGACTTATGAGTAGCACCCCAGTGGCAGGATTTAACTTTTACACCCACCCACGGCACGAACACGAATTGCAAGTGGCGAAGACAGATGAAGACGAGAAGAACAAAGGTGGAC